AGAACATAAACTTGTTCCATAGCTCCCAAGTAGTGGTAAATCGCTCAAAGTTCTTGGATCTGGCATATGTTATCTCCTGCATTTGTTTAATAAATTCTACCTTCCCAATCCATTCCCTGATGGGAGGGGGGTCAGCATGCTTCCAGCATTTTGGTATTAGTTGTGCTGCAGCTATGAGCAAATGTGTAATCAGGGATCTGGTTGTTAAGTGTTTTATCTAATGCACATCCTACAAGGCGTGATGCCACCATCTTCCTGGGATTTTACTCCAGATACAGGCGCCATCTTGTTACACGAGGTAGTTAGTCGAAGGGAGGGGTTGCTCTAGCAGCCATTTTGAGTAAATATTGAATACAGGTATACAGAGTAAATAGACATTTTACTAAAACTATTTTTACGTCCATAACACTACCAGTCACTATATAATCTCAAACAGAGACAGAGTCCCAAGATTGCACTAAAGGATTTTTTGTCAAAACTAAAATTGCCTGGGATTACCGACAAGGGTCGAGACTTTCTTAAAAAACCTTTTTCATTGAAAGAGGTAAGGGACACAATTTCAAAATTAAAAAGTGGGAAATCACCGGGTTCTGATGGATACACTGCGTTATTCTATAAAATTGCGGACCCCGTGATTTCCCCGTTGTTGATCAGGCTATTTAATTATTTTGGAGAGAGGGAACATATCGGACAAGCTGTTACAGGCTTCTATCTGTCCAATCCTGAAAAATAGGGAAAGATCTCACTCTTTTAGAAAACTATAGACCAATATCACTAATAAATTTAGACATTAAAACATTTTCAAAATTTTGGGCTGAAAGATTAAAAAATATAATAGCAGAAATAATTTATCCAGATCACTCTGGATTTATTCCGGGAAGAGCAGGGGAAGATAATTCTCGCAAACTAATAGACTTAATCACAGAGATATAGGCAAAAGCTGTCCCATCGGTCTTCTTGGCGTTAGACACAGAGAAGGCCTTTGATAGGGTGGAATTTTTTGTCTGAGACTTTTTGTCCGAATCTATTTATGGCTAGCTTTATGGCTTTATATAGTAATCCCAGTGCTAAGGTTACAGGACCAGCTCTCAATTCAAATTTTTTTAGCTTACATAAAGGAACGAGGCAGGGTTGCCCTCTTTCCCCTTTACTATATGCAATTTCTATCGAACCCCTGGCAGCTCTGATAGGATCAACAGAGGCAATTAAGGGTATTGCAATTAATAATCAAATTTTTAAAGTTATATTATACGCTGATGATATCATACTAACTCTTACATCTCCTGAAACTTCTATCCTCGCACTATTATCAATAATAGGGGAATACATCTTTCTCTCTAATTATAAATTAAATTTATCTAAAACTTAGTAATATCAAATGGATTGACTTTATCTCAAAAACAAATGCTGCTAGATAGGTATAAATTCAAATGGAATAAAAATTGGATCGAATACTTAGGTATTAAGATCTTAATCAAATCATTCAGGATAATTATAAAGGGTTACTAGAGAATCTGGATCAACAGATACATAAGTTAAAAAAGCATTATTTTTCTTGGCTGGGTCGGACCAACATGACGATTTTATTAAGAAACAACATAGAAATAAATTAATCTCCAGAGTAAAGAATTTATTAACAATTAATCAGAACTCCCCTCTTATTATTTCTATAGGAAAATGGGAAAGAGAATTTTATACAAAATTCTATTTTCAGATGTGGTGTAAAACCTGGCCGGAGGTAAAGAAATCAGTACATTCCGTCAATTTACAGGAAACTTTCTATAAATGAATCCACAGATGGCATCTTGATCCCCAAAGAAAAAGTAAATTTAAACTTACTATCAATTCATGTTGCAGGTGCAATCAGCTTTCAGCCACTTTTTACCATATCTGGTGGGAATGCACAAAATTGAATAAGATTAAAAATGAAACTGAGGGAATCATCAAAAATCCTTAAAAAAAAATCTGTACTGAACTCTTATGTCTGATTATTTCATTTAGAACTACCTAGGTCAGATAAACACACTAGATATCTAATAATTAACATATTATTGGCAATTAAAAAATGTAGAGCCAGAGAATGGCGTAGAGTAAACCCTCCAGAATGGGCACAAATAATACGTCAGATATCACACTAAGGGGAAAATTTAATATTACTTTTCTGCAAGGAATAGCAATTTAACCTCATATTATAAAATGTGGTCACCATGGTTTAAACTTTTCTTAAATAACTAGTCCCTCATGGGTATGATGCTCACCGCGATAAGTAACGTTTTGTTAAAATGGATGTTAAAGGACACTCTGTTATTGTATATAGAGAGGAAGGCTTAGGATAGAAGGTCTCACTAAGCAATACTCCCATAACCCAAATTATGTTATGTATACAATGATCATTAATGCTCCAATACTATTGAAATATATGTTTGAACAAAGTATGTATGTATGGAAGAATGAATAGAGGAGAATAATGTTACAAATTATAATTCTTTGACTACAATCAGGCATACATTTATATCTGGTAGCCTTAATGATAACTAGAGGTTTGGCACTGTTGAAAGAATTTTGGACTGTAATCTTTTGTGATCTGTATTTCGTATTTAACAAACTTCTCAAATGGAATTGTGATGTTTTATTAAACACTTAATAAATTATATTTAAAAAAAAATAAACATAAAAAAATAAATTATATATATATATATATATATATATATATATATATATATAACAGGCCCCAATTCCAAAAGACAGCACTCCAGGGACTTTACATAGTATAAAAAACAAAACGTTTATTCAGAGATTGCCAGTTGTATTTCAAAGCTGTTGTATACAGCAAACACAAACTCAAAGCAATCCATGTTTAAAATGAAATGAGGCAAAAATGTGATTCAATATTGAACAAATTTGCATATGCCCACCCAGAATCCTTTGCTGTAGTAACATCACTGCAAATTTGTGATTTCTGTGGGAAAAGCAAGTATCATGGCTTGACTAATTGTATTGACTATCCACTGACTTTAAGTGGAAGGGTTTTTTAATCACAAATTTTCCTCACCATAACTGTGTTTGCTTTCTCTCTCTCTCTCTCTCTTTCTCTCAATATAAGACTAAATATTATAATAATTAATCCCAAAATCAGATGGAATGTCCACTAACATGTGAGGTATGCAAGCCTTACACCAAAACACCTTGCATATGCATTCTCAATTATCTGTAAAGTATAATTTGACTCCATCTAGTGGAAATATGACTTACTGCACTTTTCCCCTAAAGTTAAGGTAGAATTGCATGTTGTGAAGGTATAAAATACAGATGGGGCTTTCCAGTGAAGGTACTGTTCTAACATGATTGGCAGAATATTATAATTAATTCACCAAAGGAAGTAGAGGATTTTCTTACCACCTTGACACCAGGAGACCCTCGAAATTCTCAAACTCCAAAAACTCCCAGGAAATCAAAGAGAAGAGAGATTCCTGCCCACTAAAAATGATTTGTGAAGTGGTTACTGTTCCGTTATAATATCCATATTTTCCTTTGGATTATATAACATGGTGTTTAAAAATATATATTTTTTTAATGTTTAAAGTTTTTCCTTTTTCTTCATTTTGGTTGGGTTACTTACAGATTTATTGAGACACCACAACTGCTTTATTTACTTGAGCAAATCCAGTTGGAAATCATGGAGAGGCAGTCACAGACACAAGTCAAGATAGGCAGAGAGAGATCAGGAGAGGACAGGAAGATGTGTGTATCATCTGCATATAAATAATAATGGAAGCCAAAGGAGCTGATGAGTTTACCAAGGGAGGCAGTGTTTACTGAGAACAATAGGGGACCAAGAACAGAACCTTGGGGAACGCCAACAGAGAGGGGTTGGGGAGAAGAGGCAGAGCCAGAGAAAGAAACATTGGAAAAGCGCTGGGAGAGGTAGGAGGAGCACCAGGAGAGAGCAGTATCTCATAGACCGAGATTACAGAGAATGACAAGAAGCTGTTGATGATCAACAGTGTCAAAGGCAGCAGAAAGATCAACGAGAATTAGGATAGAGTAACGGCCCCAAGATTTAGCAGCGATTAAATCGTTGGATACTTTGGTCACAGCAGTGAATCTGTGAAACCTTTTCCTAGTAACTTGGTTGCAAAATGTTTTCTTTATAGAACAAAGAAAGATAAGTTTTTGATTACATTTATTTTGCTTGTTTACCATCTATTGATCACAGTTTCCTTTCAAAGAAATACAGAAGGAATACAGCTTTTATTGATCAAACAATTGGTTGAAAAATGAAGGTCCTTCTTTTCATGGTTAAATATTTGCTGTTTGTGAATAATACTAATGTTAGTGTTCTACTAACGTGTTGTTTAATAATTCTGTGTTAGTTTTGGCTACATTCGGAAGTCAGAAGTTTTTATTCCTAATTTTTGTACATTTTATTTTTCCTTTTTTGTCCCCTGGTTTTCCATCCAATTAATCAATATTATTTTTACAAAATATTCTGATGACAAATTCTTTTATGGATACATTATACATACCATAGACAGAGTTATGTTTACCATTCACCCTAATATATATGAGTTTCTGGGAATGAATTATAAAATTTTCCTTGTAACTTTTGTATTTCTGCTATGCTTTGATTACTCTAGTGCGGATGTTGTTGTAGGCGTTTCAGTTAAAGCTAGATTTGACAAAACAAATAATACAGTCTATAAAATTATTCTTTTGTTATGGTATTAAAAATACTGTCATACAATGTGAGGGGCCTTAACACTCTGCATAAGAGAAGATTAATAGTCAAAGAAGCTAGAAATTAAAAAGCAGATATACTTGGGGGCGGGGCCTGACCTCAGAGCAGAAAGGACTCTAACCACAGCAGCTCCTGCTGAATACGGCAAAAATGGCTGATTTTCACAGCCAAAAGGGCAAATAATCAGGTCAGAAAGGCTACCCAGAGAGCAGTGACATCGGGGTGCACATGTGGACACCAATCAAGCGACGTACCAAACCCCATTCACCCAACACAATGAGGCCTACAAGCAAGGCGAGCAAGGAAGGGACGGCCACACTCCTGATGTCGTGACTGGCCAAGTACCAGGACTTGGGCCCTCGTCCCCCCCCTCTTGACCTCTGGGGGTCTTCTCGGTCCACCCTCACAAGATCCCCCCGCAAAGCAGTGGAAAAGCGACCACACTACAGAGTCCCGAACCTACCGTCACCAAGGTCTCGTACAGCCTCCACACAGCCTACCCACAAACTGTATGGCTGGATTAAACTAAATCTTCACCTCCTTTTGGAAGCAGTTGAGGGCTCACGTGCGGCCTCCGGTGCACGCACAGCTGACTACAGATTGGCCACACAATTCATCACGAGGTGTACAGTGGAGAGAAGCAGAAGCTCCCCCTAATACTGCACCCGCGATCGTCCAGCTCCAGCAAGGGGTCCTTTCGGGACTACACTCGAGACCCAGGGTGAGCAGCAGCAAACCGGGGCCTGGGGCCATGGGGATACCCAGGTGGAGACCCCCATAACACCCTCACCAACGACCCGACACGAGACTTAGGCCTCAGAGGGGCAAGATCAGCCCGACCAGGCAGGTGACACAGAGGGCCGAGAGACCCAGGGGGATGACTGCGTCCGGTTGGCGAACATGAAGCTGTCCCAGCTCAAGACAGGTGAACCCAGCTCGGCACACAGCTCGGAGGTCATAACACTCACCGACGAACTTACCTCCACACGACTCAGTGGCTCCATGCTCCTTCGCATCTGGGAGACTGCACAAGCTGACCGGCATACTGCAAGCCTGGGAGATGACTATACAAGGCGTAGGCTGAAGCACAGGCCTTGCAGGACTCTGTGGGACTTAAAACCTCTGCTGGCTACCCCTGGTACCCCCGCACTCACAGAGGGCAACATTGCCAACCATTTATTAAGAGACAGATTTTAATATGTTAATGTGAAATTTCTGTTTACATTTCTTTCTTATTTTATCATAATAGTCTTAGTGTAAGTGAATCAAAGCACCAAGCATTGACCACATGTATTTTATATGTCTTAATATACAACCGTGCATGGGCCACAGGGCACTTACAGCTCATAACTCCTGTTCAGCGTGTTAAGTAGCACTTAAATGTTCTCACAATAGACATAACCCGATAGCAAATGTAATCATTCATTAATTACTCTTTTATACTTTTATCTGTTTAATACCTTTGTCTCGTTATGCTTCCAGAGTGACTACACCTAATTTAAGTTATTCTAGACGTACCTGACAAGCATGATGTACTAAACAAAAAAAATTGTGCATGTCATATAAACGCCACACCATTGCCATAACATGTCTGAAAATGCATAGTTTGCTCCGCTATCGTTGTGATGCAAGCTTATTTTGTATATTCTTTGCGCAACAAAAATAAAGAATAAAAAAAAAAAACATATTCTTTGCATTCAAGAGACCCATTTTAAAGATAATAATTATCGTAATATTATGATAAAGAATTTTCCATTGCCATACCACTCTACATACAAGACCAAATTGAGAGGTGTATCTTTCTTTTTTAATAAAAATACGGCCCATTCCACTGATAAGATCATAGTTAATGAAAGTGGGAGGTTTATCATCTGGGTTAGGAAAGTAAATAATGTGACTTATACCATAGTAAATGTAAACTGTTAAAAGATTTGAGACGTCTTTGGAATAAAATAATGAAAGTCGTCATAGGAAAAGTGATAATATGTGGCGATTCCAATTTTGTACTGTATCAAAAAACAGATATAATTGTTCCAGCTCAGTTGATGGCAGTGATACTGACCGGCTGGCTGTAGCGTGTACTAAATTTTTGCATGATAACAGTCTTTATGATGTCTGGAGAGTGTTGCATGAAGCATGAAGGAAAAAAGAACTATATACCACTCTGTTTCATGCAACATGTACTCCGGTATTGACCAATTTTTAGTTGACGAAAGTACATTGTTATCTATTACCAAGGCAGAAATATTAGAAATAACATGGTCTGATCATGCTCGTGTTGTTTGATATGTGTCTAAGCCTCTCCAGTCTACCCCAGATCGCACCTGGAAATTAAGTGATCATCTTGTTTTGGGCCTGGAAAATAATACATTAGTTGAGACTGTGTTAAATCAGTATTTTAAGGAAAATGACAACCCCGAGGTTTCTTGTGGAGTGGTGTGGAATGTGCACAAGGGAGGTGGAAAGAGAGTTGTATAATTTAAATTCGGCTAACAAATTTGTTCTATCTCCTTCCCTATTGGCAATGATAAAAGAACTAAAAAGAAAATCGAAGTGATCCAAATAGAAAAAACAGCTTTCATGATAAGACGACTTAAACAGCTACATTATTCAAAAGGCAACATGGCCTCCTCCCTGCTGGTATCTAAACTTAGACAGAAAATAGCACAATCACGAATTGCATATTTGTTGGGAGAGAATGGTAAAAAGATTACTCATCCAATTGAAATTAGTAATCAATTTGTAAACTATTATTCAATTTGGCCTTTGATCCACAAACCATGCAACCCAATATGGAAAAAATCAAATACTTTTTAGACAAAATTAACTTACCTCAAGTTGCCCAAGATAAATAATTTTTTTTAAATTTGTCCATATCCCAACAAGAGTTATTAGCAGCTATAAACAGGCTTTACCATGATATATTACACACATTTTTTTCCAAAATACTTTTGCCATATCTAACTAATTTGTTTAATACATTCTGGACAGAAGGAAAGATGCCAGGGGAGTCCTTGTGCACGCAAATCATCACTCTGCCGAAGTCGGGGAAGAGTCAGGACCGCTCTGCCAACTTTCACCTGATTTCTTTAATAAATAATGATATCAAAATCTACACAAACATTTTGGCTGAGAGATTGACACAAATTGTCCCTATAGTAGTTGATAAAGACCAAGTGGGTTTCATTGCAGGGAGACAAGCCCCAGATGGTACAAGGAGATATATAAACCTAATACATCATATTAAAACAAATTGAAAGCCTTTTTTACTCCTTTCCTTGGATGCGGAGAAGGCGTTCGATGGGGCTATTTGAGGGAAAAATACAAGATAATAGTGTAGCGCTTAAAAATACAGCAAGCGATTAAAGATGTCACAACTTTTTCACACAAAAAATCCAATTAGTGATACAAAGTGCTCAAGCAACCAGAGACATTAATTTTGTGCGAAGGAAATATTATGATCAATCCAAATGTGTTGTTCTGGAAAATTCCTTTAAAGTGCTTACTGAACAATTTTGTGCAAAATGTGCAATATAATATTACAACTGTGTAAACAAGAACAGTGTTTCACTTGGTATATTAGTGAGCAAAAAATATATACTTATCAGCAATATGGCTTCTTTAGATGAGATATACCTCAAAGAAAAAGAATATGAAAAAACAACAATAGTGAAAACTATTTTTTCCATTGGGTCCCTTAAGACTCCCACTCAGAGCCCATATGCATAGCTCTGGGTTATGCGCCTTGGAGCCTCTTTTTGGGGGACTCCTTCCCTCTTTTCACTGGTGGCCTTTTACCTCCAAGAAAAAGATACACAGCAGGATCTAATGCAATATGTATAAGCAGTTTAATAAAAAAGAACCACTCACGTGTTCCAGAGCCTTTCAACAGGCACTATTTGAATAGGAGTGTGCCTAATTTTGAGGGGGACACCACCCTTTGGTTCCAAAGCAAATATTCTCCACAGATCCACATATGGATAAAGGAAATTTTTATTGAATCCAATGATTTAAAAAAGAATATATTAAAAGTAGCATGTACTGGTAAAACACAGGTACATAAAATGAATGATAAAAAATGCGTTTCACCTTATCAAGCTTCCTCAATTTATTTAGTTTGTCTTTGTGTACAGAATCTCTTTTTATATTGTCCATGTGGACTTTACTTCCAGTCCTTTATATGTTTAATGTATTCCAAGTCTCTTTTTCATGTTAAAAAGGGCAGTAATGTCATTTCCGATTTTGATGCAACGTCACTTCCGGTTCCGGTCAATTTATTTTGGCCAAAATAAAAAAATATAAAAGTCTTAGCTATATTTATACATAAATATATATTGATAATGTCCAGAATGGCATAAATACATTTTGCTAATATCCTTATTAAGAACTACAGAACATTTTTTTTTTAAATTTTTTTTTTATCCTGAAGATCAATGTAATTTTATTATAGAAGGGATTAAATTAATTTTAGAAAATAACTATTTCTAGTTTTTTAAAGATTTTTACCTCCAAAAGAAAGGTACTACTATGGGGACCAAGTTTGCACCCAATTACACAAATCTCTTTATGGCTAATTGGGAGGAAGAGTTCAATCTCTCAAAGCCACAGTGGATGCAACACTTGGGCACCTATAGATGGTACGTAGACAATATAGTCTAAACGTGCAATAAAAAAGGCGCTAAATAACTGCAGCTAGCATTGTTATTCAAATAGTATAAAAAAGTGCATAAGTGCTCTTAATTTCCTCTCCAAATAAAAATATATTGTCTATGTACCATACAGAGAAAACAAGAAAGTGTGCAGCGCATAGAGTGATGAAGATCACCAATACGTTTACTTCAAACCACTTAGTGATATTTAGTGCCACATTCAATAAACATACGTGAAATGGGTGAAATAATAAAAGTAATAAATATACCCCAAAAATAAAATATCTGCACAGGTATTCCTAAAGTGATGAGACAAAAGAAATAAACTCTCATAGGGCAACACAGTTGTTATTGTCTTATGGAGTCTTGTATATTCTTATATGGTCTCACTCATATTATTTGGGAGCTTGTTATGACCTGGAGGAAAGGCTTAAATTTGTACAAGCTCTTAAAGGAGTAACTCAGTGTTCCAATCATTGGGAAAACCATTTCAAAATAATTTATAGATGTTATTTATCCCCCTATGGGCTGAATAAAATGAACTCCAGATATTCAGAAACTGGAATGATTGGCTCGCTTTCACATGTTTTTTAGTATTGTCCTAAACTCAAACAATCTTGGCAGGAAATACATAAATTAATCCAAAAAGTAAATTCTAATATTCCTGTACTCACTTCAGCATTGGTTTTATTCAAATTCTTCCCTGATACTATTATAAAAATTGATAAAATTATAATTGGGCATATCCTTTTAGCTGCTACTACGGTCATCCCCAGATACTGGAGATCACCAACAATCTCTACTATTAGTTTTTA